AATTTTCTTTAAAATAAAAAACATCTATATTGATTCTGACTTTTCTACATCCAACTCACAGGTTTATCATTACTTTGAGAAAAAAGATTATTAATGTAACCCTTTTAGAAGGGAAGATATGGTCATTTGTTCTGGGAATGTCATTTTCCAGCCTGAAACCTGAAAAACAGGCTTGGGGCCTAACAGGTCAAGTATTCTTTAATGTTTGAATAAAGCCTTATTGCTTTGTCTGTTTTGCACATCCTCCTGTTAATATCTTTGGATGTCCTGCACTAAACTGTTTTATTGTAGAGATCACTACAGTATCTTCTTGATGCCATCCCCACCATACGTCATCTCACATCATTCAGAGCTGATTGGCTGTAAGTACGTGTGCCGCGAAAAGTGTGGTGTGTGAAGAGGAGACGAGAGAGCTGCAGTGACGCATCCTAAAACCCGGAAGTAAGCTGCGCATGGCTTCCCTCGACAAAAAAGCAATGAGTTTTCTCCATAGGATTTTAGAAAATAGCTCCAAATAACCACAGATGGAAATTAGCTATTAGCTATAATCTGGCATATTACATCTCTTCTCTTTGCTGAGATTAATGTTTTTGTATGCATGGTTCTTCTATAAATAAATTAATACAAATAAGATCTGTGGGAAACAAACCTGTTAGATAAATGCACGTTTTGTTCAGCCGGATAATATCCACATGTCTGCCCTACTTTTATAATTTTCGAATCATAAATCTATTGATTAGATTAGATTTATGATAGACTTTTGAAACTACAAGAACATAAGGAGGACTTTTACAAAAAAGTAATAGAGATTTTTATCCAGAAGGATAGTCAAATGGACTTAATCTTCAAGTCAAGGTAAGACTGCAATTTTATTGAAAATGGGATCTTACTAAGAGAGGACAATTCAATATTTAAATGATACAATTACATTTTTTGGGTATCCTTTTGTTGAACTGTCTGTTTAAAATTAATTGAAGCATCAGACAAAAAAAGCTTTTGAAAATAATATTATATTTTGATTTAGGTCAAAATATAATATTTGTAAACCTGAAGAGTCAGTGCCAGTGCCTCACCAGCCATGAACCTCACTGCAGAAGCTTATAGACATCTACGTTTTTTGTGCCCCACCACTTTTGTACATATAAAAACGCCACTGAGCGTGTGTGTGCAGCAAGAGAGATCGTCGGAGCAACACACTCATCCGTTAGAAACCAACAGTAAGGTTGTTTAACCTGTTGAACCCCATCCCTGTTTTTCAGGTCTCAGGCTCGAAAATGACATTTCCAGAACAAATGACCATAACTACACTTCTAAAAGGGGAAAATTAAGAATCTTTTTTCTCAAAGTAATGATAAACATTTGAGTTGGATGTAGAAAAATCAGAATCAATATAGATGTTTTTTTATTTTAAAGAAAATTCAGATTGAACATAGTAAAAAACTGTAAATTATAGTGTCCGTCCAAATTTGTTTACTTATAGTGAAAACCACCCTTGAATGATGGGATGGTAGACTAAAAACTTTAGGAATCCAAAGTACAACATATAATAAGTACACTGTATCAGTGACACACTCTGGTGGCTATCATGAGCAGCTAATTTGTATTCTCCGATTTTTGCATACAAATTGAATTATGGATTATCAATATTTTTTTCAAAATGACAGACACATTGGATTAACCTATGGATTAACCTTCAGCCGCGTTTTTTCTCGTTTTAATGCCATTGACCACGACTTTTGATCAGAATAACAGCTAAAGTGAGCATATCTCCGTGTTTTGCTACCTAAAGCTACAGTACGTCGTGTGTTGTCTGTATTTGCTTCCCCTGTCACGAGTTCTGATCGCTCAGTGATGATTCTTATATTTCTATAATCTGTGGACTCTCAGGATGTTATCTAAGCAGATCCAATAAGTATATCGATCGGTATAACTAGAGTTCTGTGCTAACGGCCTTAAGATTGTTTCGCTCGTGGCTAATTCAGAGGCTCAGCGTTAGCTTTGTGTTTTCTTTTGCAAAAAAAAAAAAAAAAAGATCAGTTAGCTGAGTTTCTTCCCGTTACATGGATATGAAACATTCATAGTTTATTAAATATTAAGAAGCCCTCAGACGCTGTTTCCTTCAGATGATGCGTTATTCCGCCCGGGGGCGGGTCGATGGAGTTCAACATGTTAAAGTCTGTGTTGCCGTTTTGTCTGATCCACCGTCCACCGTCATCATACCCTTCTGTCGCTTCACGTTTCCTGATTAGTGTTTACCGGTCATCTCCCAACCACCTGGACCAGGACTGGATTTCCCAAACCGACTGGATTGACTAAAATGACTGACATTCTGCCGTGGTAAATTGACTGTTTTATTTATTTTGAAGAAAACCCGAAGTGGAACGTTTTGGATTTAAAAGTGAACTGTGGGAAGAAGGATTGTTTAATTGTTTGTGGGGTATTCGAAATACACTTGCTGTTTGTGATTATAATTTTGAGTTGTGTCTTTAATTATTTTTCTAATGTCATTCAATGTTGGGTGTTTGCAGTGTATACACCTTTGTGCAGTAGGCTACAGACTTACTAAAACTGACTGTGACTATCAACATCTTAAATGTCAGGAGAGAGACCTGACTGGCACCCTAAAAAAATAAATAAAGAAACATAAAAAAGCAAGTCAAACTGTCACAACGAGTGTTACAAAGTGATGTCACAATGTTTAGAAAGAAAACAAAGGAATCCAATGGAATCCCCAAATAGTGTCCCCTTTAATTAAAAGTAATACCTTTTAATAATAACAATAATAAAAGCCCATTAAATGAGGTACTTACCTCCCCTGCCAGCATAAAACATAATCTATAAGAGGCTGAAATAAACTGTGTTGTTTTTCTAGTCTATTTGTATTAACATTGTGTACATCCAAGACTTACGAATCAATGCTGCCATTGTACTCTATGCTGGCTTTGTAGCTGCTACTGCAACTGTCAGACTCACTGTTCAGGGTCTCTGTGATTTATTAAATTCTGAGGGTCCTGATATCTCTTCGTTCACATTTTGATGGGAGTGATAAAACCAGGCAGTAAAGTAATGTCAGCTCTCTATAAACACAGCTGGTGTTACTCACAGGAGGGCTGCTTTGATGTTGTTCCGAGATTTGGAGATTGTCTCTGTGATACTCGTTGTGGCGGACAGGGCAGATACAGCAGGAGAAATAAGTACAGTGCATACCCACCTATACAAGTCACTGTATCTCTGTCGGCAATGATCAGCGCTGTAAACTCTCATATGTCTGAGATGTTCACATTATCGTTAAATCCAAAGTGATTTATGGGCTTTGTATAGAGAGTGGGCAGAGGCACTTGCACTGATATGTGATGATGTGGTTATATTATTGAATGTGGAGCATCAAACATAGGGATATAAATGTGACTTATCTAGTTTCAGCATAATTCAAAGCTGCATTAATCTTACCTTCTCCTGCATCAACATAATCCCGTTGTAAACATGTTTTTTATTGTATTTAGATGTTTAAAAATTAAGGTGACATCGTATTTTATGATTCTATAGATTTAGAGCTTATCCTGGCCATGTTAAAATGAAATATATAAACTGTGTCAGAAATATAACAATGATGCTTGGTAGTCAGGAATCTTTCATCTGGGAACAGGTCTTCTGTATTTCTGCCTGTGCACAGATGGTGGTGCAGCTAGTTGAAACTCAATAATGGTCTGAAAGTCAGAGGTTAGATATGGTTGGGGCATGGAAGAGGAACAAACTACTCATTGGCTTCAGGCGAGGTGGTTTCAAATGAAATATTGGTTAACGACTTCAGAGCCGGCAGGTAAACAAGATAAATCCACAGAGGAACCTTTAAACATTAGATAACGGTAGCTGTACAGGGCAGCTCCCAGAGTGTGTGACTGTTTGAATGTGAAGCAGGGCGTTGCTGGGAAAAGAGCAGCCTACTAACCCTCCCTCACAGAGAGAGAGCGAGAGAGTTTCGGTCAGATGTCCGCAGGTTTCTGATCTTCCACTGTGCAGTCTCCCATGGCCTTGTGTTCTCATGGACGACCTATATAAACCCCAGTAGCTTTCTTTCAGGTCCCTCTGCTTTGCTGGGGTTTTTGGAAAAAGTCCAGATAAATGTTTTGAATTGTTCCCACTTCGTATTTGATGGTGGCTTTGAATATGCTCCACATGTTTGGGTTATGACAGCTCAGTCTGTAATACATTCACCCTGAGGCATAATAAAGAAAACACAGTCCATCCTGCAATTTGTATTTTTGTGGAGCAGGAGTTATGTTGACACGTACTCAAGGGTGAATTCTTAAAAAGGCAAGTACTTGTTTTGAGTAATGGCCTCCACAAGCTATTTATAATGGCTCAACAGCACTGACCCCGCCACTACAATATCTATATTTTCATTCTGAAACCGTGTGGGGGTAATTTCACATCTTATGCGTTGCAAACATGTCTGTGGTTGCTTTTCACAGATTAAACATTAATAGATAACCCATTTCCTAACCGGCAATTATCTTAGTGAACACTGGATGGCATTGTTGCTGTTCAAGAAACCCTCAATTTGCAGCTGCGCTTCATTTGTCCTCACTAAATCTGTGAGGAGGGAGAAACAGTGATGTGCTGCAACATAGTGTATTCCTTAATGAACATAGAATGACTTCGTATTTTTATGTCTTGGTTAAAAAATGTCATTTGAATCTGAGCAAGACTGATGACACAAAGATGTTTAGATTTAGGAACATGTGTTTTAAGACAGCAGAAGCCATCAAACACCTCACTTTACTCCTGAGGCATCATAGGAAATACTAGTTAAATAAAACACATCATAGCAGGTAGTGTTTGACATGAGTTATGTACTCCTTGTAGGGCGACTACATTGACATTGACACAGCAAAAGTCCAAATGCATATTTACTTTTAATGTTTTCTTAAGCTAAGAAGTATTTTTATTTGAAAAGGACATTATTTGTTTTCTCTAAAGTTAATGGTTGTGTTTATTCACCCTTCCCTACAGGAACATCTAGTAGCCTGGGAGCTATTCGGGAAAAGCGGACAAACCGGATTTTCCAGGCTATATCTGGCACACTTTCTTCACCTTTATTTTGTCCTGGACACCAGACACCATGGGTCATTGATTCACTAAAGAATCTCACAGCTGATGAGAGGCTAGTTAAGAGCCATTTTGCTGGTACGTGAGAAAAAGCATAAAGTCTCCTGAAATTAATTAGTGACTCTTAATATGTTAGTCGCAACACCCTCCAGGAAAATGTGACAGTAATTTCTACTCTGCATGAAGTAAAGCGTGAACAATTTAACTATAACCAGTTAACAGGTGTGAGTGTGCTGATCTGTTCAAATCCATTCTGCTGGATAACTCCTAGGTGAGAGCCCTTCTCCTGCTTAACAGCCACTTCTTTCTTTTTTAGCGTCATTATCATTTTAATAATAATTAAAACTATTATACAAATAGATGCCAGCATTTTTCATTGGAACAATGTCACAGTTTCACCATATCCCAAATAAAAAATTAATCTAGGGAAAGGAAATATTTCCTCCAATAATAAACTTCAATCTTATTTTTCAACTTTTTCATTTTCTGCAGTTTGTCACCAGGGCGGAAATATTTTGATCAAGGATCGTCGTTATTCAACGTTTTACTTGAATCCCCACCTCTGTGAAGTTGAATAAAAGAATTAAAAAAAATTCACCCCAAATTACCATACTTTGAAATGCAAATTAGAATAGTGACTAATTGTGAAACAAGTGGTCTATTTCACGACCATGTGGACCAAGAAGGAAATTAATGGATAAAGAATCGACACGTTTAAGAAAGCGTATCTTTTCCCACAAGGGTACATTTTAAATTTAGATGAAAAAAATAGATAAGTCTTAAAGTGCACATAATGTATACACAAATAAATGGTCACATGTGGTCCTGTGACAGAGGAAAGCTAAGAGGCTCATTGGTAGAAGTCTTGACGTCTTGTCTTGGGTCTTGCTGATCCAGCAGTGAGAGGCAGTGGTCTCGGCTTGTTTGTGACCTCTGTCAGATGACAGTGAAGGTCTCCAATAAGCAGCAGTGTTGGTGAGCAGCACTCACTGAACTGTCTCTTCCAATAGCAGTTGTCTCACATCCTCTTGAAAGAAACAAGTGCTTCAAATACCAATTCTGGCTTTCACCCTAATTGTTTTCCATGCTCTGCTGAATCTATCTTCACCTTCACACTGTTCAACAGCAAAACGACAGAGCCGTAATAACCTTCACTTTAATGGTACTTGAATCCAAAGTTCCTTATTCCCAACAAGTAAGTGAGACTTCTAATATAAAATGTTACTCGGAAAGAACGTTGAGGTGAACACATGTTTATAAGCAAAATCTCCAGGGTGGGCAGCAACAGCAGCACAGCTGTCGCAGTGGGTTATTCTTCTTGTATCTGGCGGCCATCTTGAATTGTTCATTAGATTTAGCCACATAATCCTGAGACCTCTCCACATTGGTCTGGATGTTCTCAATGTAGGAGCCTTGTTCCTCCACCAACATGAAAATGTCCATAAACAGGTCACTCAGCTCCCTCATGTTGTTCTCCAGACTCAACAGCTCCTGTTGGGGGACATTGACAATGATACTTGGATTAATACTGTGGATATAGAGTGCATTAGTCAGGGGCCGGAGGTGGTGGTAGACAGAACCGGGAGACTTAAGATGCAATGAGGGAACAAATTCAGCTCTTTTTACAACTTGGCCTGAGCACTGAAAAGACTCACTTTTATACGTACCTATTACGTTTAATTTGCTGGTTGTTTCTAGCGTATCTCACCTCTAGAAGTTCCTGTTTGTCTAATTGTCTTTTTCATTTTGACCATTTAACGGGTTCACTTCCAAAATTAAAGGCCTGTAACTACTTTGCATACACTTTTCTAATGTATATAGTAACCTATGTTTATATTTGTAAGTGTCTTCTTACTTTTTCCTTATATCTTTTGTTGTGCTTCCTATTGATACATCATATTCCTAATCAGTGGCGTTTTTATATGTACAAAACTGGTGCGGGGCACGAACAATTTAGATGTGTATACCGTATATAAGCTTCTGGTGCTTTACACGTAAACAAATAGCTGTAGGCCCCGATAGAGAGAGAGGGGGGGGTATAAGGAAAACACAGATACTCATCACCGAGGTCAAAATATCAATCGATCCAGCAGAGCAATAGCCTATAGGCAAAAAAAGAAGATCAACAAAATATATGACATAAAATGAACTTACCAAAGCTGGTCAACTTCATTCCTTTTCTTTCAGTTTTACTGATTTTAATCGCTATATTCTGCTCTCTCTCATCTCCTCTTCACATCTACACTTTTCGCGGCACACGTACTTACAGCCAATCAGCTCTCTGAATTATGAGATGACGTTTGGTAGGTATGTCAGTACAGTGCCCCATGGTGATTATTTTTTTGCTGCAGACATTGAATAGAAAAATACTGAACATTTTAGAGTGGCCTTTTATTGTGGCCAGCCTAAGGCACACCTGTGCAATAATCATGCTGTCTAATCAGCATCTTGATATGCCACACCTGTGAGGTGGGATGGATTATCTCGGCAAAGGAGAAGTGCTCACTATCACAGATTTTTTCAGATTTGTGAACAATATTTGAGAGAAATGGTTATTTTGTGTATATAGAAAATGTTTTAGATCTTTGAGTTCATCTCATGAAAAATGGGAGCAAAAACAAAAGTGTTGCATTTATATTTGTGTTCAGTGTATATCTATATCTATCCAATTTCCTCTTCCATTTAATTTCTTTCCTTGACCCATTTGTCATAGTAAGATACGGTCATGTGTGAGACAAGTAAAAAATGTGTGCATTCACCAAATAGGCATTAAAGTGGGGTTATTTAGCTTGACTGGGGAATTTAAACCGATCTGCACTGAAGCTTATTTAATTTATTTTCTTTCAAAAATCAAGATATAGAGATTTTCAGCAATACATATGTTTTCCTGAGTTGTTTGCCACTATCCTCACCTTGTGTCGCTGTTCAATCTCAGATAGTTGTGATCGTGTGATTCTGGCATCATTCAGCAGGTTCTCATTGAACACCTCCCATTTTCCTGTGGTCACCATTTCATTTGCCTCGTCCTCCGTCACATCCCTTCCAGATACCTCCAGCTGCCGGATAATGAAATGCTTACAGCGCTCCTGCTTCGTCGGCAGACCTTCATTATACTGCCACATTACCTGGACATAATTATAGCAAAAAGAGAGAATAAAAAAAAGAAATGGGGAGCGGGAATGAAAAATGACAAAGTATTTGAGTTCCACCTTGCTGGTTCTGGCTCTGCTATAATGTGACTCATACAAATCTGTTCATTTATATTATTTATATAGTGCTCTACGTTGCTCACAAATAAGCAAAGTTATATGAGCACTTGTGGATTTAATTATCTGATTCACCAGCAGTTGGTATGATCTTGCTTGAAGTGAATATATCTGCACTTTCCTTGTTGTTCAGTGTTTTGATTCTTTATGGTTTTTGCACCTATTGTAATCACTTTGGATAAAAGTTTCAGCTAAATTATATGTAATGTAATGTAATATGAAGTATAATAGTATTGGTCGGTTCATCTTCTCAACCTGCTGGAATTTGGAGTGTAGTGATGCATGCTGGGAGAGTTGTATTCTGGTTGTAACAGCATTAGGTCCCAGTTGGTCCTCAGTCCTTTGGACCTGTTTTGAAAGAGCATCTAAGCGTCGATGGAGGCTCTCGGCCTTGAGCTTGATGTCCCGGGTTATACTGCTCTCCTTCTTCATCACACTGAAATGACGCATGGTTGCAACCACGGTCTTTTGCTGCTGTCCAAACTTAAGGACCTGTTTGTGTTTAAGAATAGACAGAAAGATCTCTTCAGCAACATTTACATTTGCATGATCAAACAGTCTTATTTTATATTATTTCTGATAAGTTAAATATTATAATAAGTAAAATAAGAAAACAAAGAACGTAATTCAAAAAGAACACATCATGAAAATCAAGTAGCAATGGCAATCCACCCTCCGTTAATAGCCATAAATGCATTACATAAAACATCAATTAAGATAATTGCATGCTCCTTTGAGAAAACATTTAAATAAATGACCTCTGTGTCCAGCACTGTGATATCATCTCTGATTCGTTGGGCCTCAAACAGGAAATTCTTAATGACCGGCTCTTCCTCGAACATCACAGCCTGTGGCGTTATGGCCGCCATAGAGTCGTCATTATCAACCTCCACTGAGGGAGAGACGCTGTTCTCAGATGCTGCCTCAGAATAGTCTTGAGTCCTCTTCCTCAGCTCCTCCAAGCGGTCTCTCATCGTGGAAGAACTTTCACCAAAGCTTCGTCCTCAGGACAAACAGTTTTTGTAGAATGTGATGTGTTGTCAAATCTGACGAGAAGTAGCTGAAAAATAAAAAGAACATGAAACTTTAATGATTCCTGTCCGTAACGGGATTTTTGCAGAACATAAACGTTGGAAAACAAGGCAGTAAAAAAAGAGACCATTGACAGTAAATAATTGAATGAAAATGATCACATCAGCTCTTGGTAAACAGGTTAGAGTTACAGTGAAAGAATGGATGGCATTATCAATGAATTGTAAAAGAGAAATTTAGTGTGCTGCACATTTCTGAATTGTTCTGGCTACAGATTTTAAAGGGATATTTTAGAGAATTAGTCACATTACAACATTATACAATATATGTTTATGTATTTGGTTGGTATTTTCACAGGTTATAAATAACTAAAAACTGTCAGGTAACACTACATTCAGGAGTCATCTAAGTTTAGTTGTTTTAAGTGAATAGTGCTTTAGGATTTAGGTGAATGTGTTTAATGGAAAGTAATGTAATGAGTACTCTACCTATAATCAGTATGCTTTGAGTATTTAATGTCATGACATGTTCATTGTTTACCAAGCTGCCCTGTTTACCACAAAATTGCGTACACATACAACAGTTTTGTATCCGTTTTGGATCAAGAAAAATATGTTATCTCCCAGTATTACTGTCCCAATTTTAAATATATGGTTAACATTGTAAGGTGAGACATAAGCAAAATGTTGAGTAAGAGATGATGGTTTAATCATGGTGTAGCTGCATAGGAAGTATATGGGAAATAGACTAGAGACTAGACTGTACCAAGAGCAGTAAGTTACCAGACTTACATCGCTGGTAAAATCAACTACTTATACTTGGTTGAATGAATGCATTATGTGAAACCACTTTGTGTACTTCTGGGGTATAGCTTCAATTATGCCCAGGTACATTGACATAAGGTGATCAATAAACTGCATGAAATAATTTCAAGTGTTTGTCTGAAATAAATACCTTATATATTACAAGCCGAAAGAAATAAAGAACAAATAAAGTAAGAATGGCACATGCACTTCACTATACATATAGATGCTATCCAACAAAGAAAGTTATATGGGATGGGAATTACACAAATAATCGTTATTTCAGTAATGATCTGCAAGCTGTCTCCTACACTTGCAATTTATATAACTAATGTGTTGTTCCAGGTACATCATTTCTGCCAGGATTGGATGTAAGTGAACATATTTTCCAGGAAAGTGGATCATTATCGCTCTAAAAGAGTGCTATAAGTGCCTAAACAAAACCACACAAAAGTTAAATAATGAGTGGATATTGTATTGCAAGAGTTGATATTATAGGAAAACAAATACATTACTTTTTTTACGCTTTCATCTAGCAATATTGTGCCACTTGCTAGATATATTTATTTAGTTTGAAAGTATCCATTAAAATTAGCTATAAACTTAATTTTTAAAAGAAACAGGACACCCAAGTTCTAAAAAATGACCAAATACAGTTCAAGCTGAAGGGAAAAGTTAACTGTGCACCCTGGTGTGGCTGGTAGGAGTCAAAGCCGGATCTGTTTTTGTTTACATCATTATAAGTTCATCTGTCTGAGCATACAACCCAGTCTCATGGCATTTCGTGTTCACCAACACGATTTTTAATCTATTGATTCGTGTTCACCAACACGATTTTCCCCTTTTTTTCGTGTTGCACAGCACGATATTAAAAGCAATGTATTTCTACTGGTAATGACGTTTTCGTTTGTGTCGGCTGCCCTTAAAGGCAATGTGAGCGTCCATTCTCATTGGATAACGGAGAATTGTACACCCGGAAGTAAGTATTCCCCTTACTGTCGATTGATTTTACAGTGATATCTGCACTACTCATCGACTAAAAAACACCAGATTATCCTGGTTAATTACACAACATTGATTGGTTTAAATTGTGTGCAATGCTTTTGTATTTTTCCCCTTCGATTCGGAGAAACAAATATTTTTTCGGAGTAAAGGATGGCAGAAGACACTACACTACCCAGAATCCCCAGCTATCATTTGGACTACACCATGTGCTCTGTTTGACAAACCCCGTGATAGTCCTCAAGCTCTGTGATTGGAGAGTGTGCTCCGAGGGTTACCGAGCCTCGAACAGCACTTGAAATGGGATGGAACCACGGCAGACTGTCCAAAACTGGATTTGAACGAGTCCACCGCGTCCCCCCCTCCCCCACCCCGTCCCCAGAACTACACATGCTGGCTATTCTGTTTCGCAACATGTTCTTTATCTATGGCACGTCTCTACTGGGAGTTGTAGTTTTAAAAGACGTTTTCGTATTTTCCATAATAAGAAGTTGCCAGTATTAAACTGTGTACATCCCTGGAGGTTTAGGGGGTAGGAAACACTCAAATTTAAAACATATAATTAATAAATGGGTGAAAATTGCTTGTGCCCATAATGGGCAGCATTAATATATATACATACACACATGCCAGAAGAGCTTTATTTAACAGCTGGTCTTATGTTTGTGACCCCTGTTGTTAATTGATAACATTACATTACATTACATTAATTGATAAGCCTGAAACATGCACTTGTCAAGGTTCAGAGGCAAATTTTGCAAATATGGCAGTAGCCATCAATCAGCTTAAGATATACTTTATTGATCCCAAGTTGGAACATTTGCGTTACATCAGCATGTGTTACAGTTGTATGCAGTGGTGTTTATTTGTAAATAATTTAGTATAATCACACAAATTCTGTGTTTTATATTTAACAATTCTGTGTTCTTTATTTATTGATCGTTCAATACCTGACAAGGCCGGAGATGAAATATCTACATACATCTTATAAGAGTGTAATACATTATGTATAATATCAGTTAAAATAAGTGCTTCAACATAGTTAACATTGCTGGAGGTATGCACAAATATTGATAGATGTCTTGTAATGCACTATTGAGGAACCTGCGACCCAAGTTTTTCATTCCATGCATAACTACACCATACTGTAGTTGTGTGGGCCTATATGATATGTCAATAAACCTTAGAAAATCTTGAAATCTTGAAAGGGATGTGCAAAATAGTCATTATATACAGTCTTTAATTAACTATTAGTAGAGAATAACGAGTAATGAATATACTTTATAGGGATCCTATTCATATCTAATAATACAAATAATGAAATTCAATAACATGCTTTAACCACTAGGTGTCCCTTTATATCAGCTGTGCACCTTTATGGTGTAAATACAGCCTATCTACCAATTGGATCAAATATAAAAGTCAGCCGAATTAGTGTTGATACTGCAAGGAGACGTATTGTGTGAAAATAAATGTAAGATGTTGTTTAATGGCTGATATATTTATGATCCACGTCACGTTTTCAGTTCCTCATGTGTTTGTCTAGAAGTCTTCTCATCAGGGCTCTATAAATACAGAACTACGGCAGATATGTAATATTTAATGCAGCCGAACCGTGTATTACAATGCCGTTACAGTATGTATGTGATGACTTTCAAAGAGAAAAGCAAGCACACTCGGAATAAAGTATTATTTAAAAAAAAAAAATGTTTTCGGTCTGTTTCTGGTATTTGTTAATGACGATGTGCTGTGAGATGTGAGACTGGAATTGCACAGGGGAAAATAACGTAGGCTATCTTTAGATGCGGATTTTGTTAAACTAATATGTTTGCGCTGTGGACCAACACTATACATTGACGGGTAGCAATAAAGATAACACAATTAAACAGTTACACAACATAACAGAAATAATATCGATAGCAGCGTCCCTAGCAACCACCTTGGTAACAATGAACATTTCCTGAAGTAATCTTCGTAATAATTAGCAAACTAAAGATCATGTACATCCACTGCACACATAATCTGAAATAACAACTCATATTTCTCGCATCAAATGACATCAAAACGCATTTTAATGGCCAAACTAACTTTAAAATAGGCATTTTCCACCGAGAATAAAACGAAGTTCGGCCATGTTTTTTTTTTCTGCAGGGAGAAATTTGAAGATCACGTGACATAGACGCCAGCCATTGGAATGAATGGTGAAAAAAAACGGGGTTTTTCAAACAGAGCACATGGTGTAGTCCGATAGCTGGGGATTCTGTGTAGTGCAGTGTCTTCTGCCATCCTTTACTCCGAAAACATATTTGTTTCTCCGAATCAAAGGGGAAAAATACAAAAGCATTGCACACAATTTAAACCAATCAATGTTGTGTAATTAACAAGGATAATCTGGTGTTTTTTAGTCGATGAGTAGTGCAGATAACACTGTAAAATCAATCGACAGTAAGGGGAATACTTACTTCCGGGTATACAATTATCCGTTATCTAATGAGAATGGACGCTCACATTGCCTTTAAGGGCAGCCGACACAAACGAAAACGTCATTACCAGTAGAAATACATTGCTTTTAAAATCGTGCTGTGCAACACGAAATGCCATGAGACCAGGGTTGGGAGGGTTACTTTGTAAATGTAATCAGTTACTGATTACTGATTACATGGCTCTGAAAGTAATCCGAATACAGTTACAGTTACGTGTCTTAAAAAAGTAACGTAATCAGATTACTTTTAGATTACTTTTGGATTACTTTCTTTTTCCACAGATGGATATGTTTTGGTGTACAGGAGACACAAAAAGCAAAAGGAATGTGTTTTTACTGTTTTAATGGCTTATCAAGAGCACAACTGAAACACAACATCTGAAACGATGTAACAACATAATTAACTTTTTGGGGATGCAGTTTGGGATGTGAGGAGTGAGGGACACGGCTTAGAACGAGCGTGTCGCCTTCTGTCCTGCCAGTGTTGGCAGGACATGAATTAAAATGTCAAACTCGGACTTCATTTTAAGGACATTACGGCCAGGGGTGTAGAGCTATATTTGTTTAAGCACCGGATTCACAGTATCTGCTGCCCGCAGCTGTTTTATAGAAGGAACACCTTCTTCACTTCATGAAATCTCTGCAGCACCAGGAGGCAGCGGGAGGGTTAACTCAGCCTCTGAGAAGACGAGCACGCAGTGCCTTTCACGCACCGCCTTCACCGTGTTTACCTTCAGAAATAATCATTAGTAAGGCTAAAGAAAGAGCGACCGCAGGCTGATGTGTTTTAACCACACACACGCGGTTTAAACGCAGACTTGTGTTCCTCCATGTTTCGTTGTTATTGTTTCACTGAGCGGACCCGCGATTTTTTTTCAAACGCTTTTTTGGTCCATCTGCGGCGGTAAAAGGTTTTGTGGGCTGTGATGATTCGGCTGTACCTTTAGTAATGAATATTAAATGTTGTGAGGAAATCTTTCCACCAATAATTCCAATAAGTAATCCAAAATGTATTCACTTCAGGTTTACGAAAGTAACTGTAATCAGATTACTCGTTTTTCAAATGTAACGCGAGCTGAATACAGTTACTTGATTTTTGTATTCTGATTACGTAACGCCGTTACATGTATTCCGTTACAACCCAACCCTGCATGAGACTGGGTTGGAGCATAATGAGCCGTATATGCACTCTGCTGTATAACTGTATGAAAAACAACCTGAGCATAAAGTTTATCTGAGACATCACTCAAATTGACTCAAGTTCCTTTTCCCATGAAAGCCGAGTAGGTTGTCAGAGCAGGTTTGGTAAATACTACTTATTTACTTAAACTAAACAGAAAAGAAAGGCTGCAATATGTCAATTCCGACTGCTATTTACTAAATATGTAAAATGTTGAAATAAAAATAGATATCTTAACAGCAACTGCTGAGAAATAAGCGGCTTGTTTAACCTACAAGTCTTTAACTCCAGCTGATAACTTCTAAAGCTGAAGTAAACAAGTGAGGTGCTTGTGATTAAAACCGTGCGATACATAATCTGATTCCCTGTATGCCTTTGGTGAGTGAAACACATTCAACTTTAAATTCCTTAGCATTCAAATAGGCATACAAATACATTCCCTTAGCAGCACAGGGATTTGAGTTTTAGAGGCCGTAAACATAATCTGCTACAAGCACATGATTGTGTGGGGGAAACAGAGTTAGACATGGAGCATTTTGAATCACAGCCTATCCCATTTCTGGATACATTTCAAACAGGAAATTCTATAAAACAATATGACTTCCAATATTTTCTTCAGGCTACTCATCTGCTTCTTAGTCTGTTTTTCTTATATGTCATGTTGACATTCTCTCATCTCCATTCTGGTGGAGCAAAAGCCTCCAAATGTTGTATTTTATCGCAGTTCAAACAGATAATTGCTTGTCTTTCAAATGTAACAAGACAAATTATTCTGCTTAAAATAGTGCAAAAGTCAACTGTAAATCAAGTCTTACTTGCTCAAGATAGTCTATCTTTTAATAGATTAATGTAATTCAACATAGAAAAAAAACGACCAAATACAGTATAATCTCAATGTACAGCACACTTTTACACACATTAACAGTCAGGGGCTGGAGAACATTGAGTCTGAAATGAAGATTTTACCTTGATGTTAGAATTCCATCATGGGTGTCCTGCTGAGTTTTCCCAGAGTTCACCAGGAACATAATCCAAAACAAACACATTATTTGATATAATTACATCATTTTCAGATCTCCTTGCTTTCACTGTAACTGTTAAGCTACCAACAAGCAGGGTACGTTTTTGAAGAAGTTTGGTTGAGTCAGATTCAAGCACCTCCCCTCCTTTTGAAGCCAATAGGAAAGCAGCACACTGAAGGACCATTTGCTTATCTAAAGAAATGAGATGTGACGTGATTAAGTAAATGAGAAGGGGGAGAGGCAGCACAGGGAGCCCATAAATCCTCCCCTCAGGCTTAGATAAAAAAAGTGAAAAACAAATAGAATTGTATTGTGTGCATTGCTAAGGACAAACAATGGGCAATGCGGTTAGAGTGTCAACCAAGGCCTTTGTTTTCCTTTCCGCAAGGTTAATTTCTATGTGAAGTGTCTGGGTTCACGTGGTAAGCCCTCTTGGTCTGGGGGTATTGTACTCCTTAGGCCCCAGTAACTCCGCTGAGTACTTTTGACAGATTTCTACTGACAAGCTCTCTAAAACCCAGGCGCCTTTTCAACACCGAAAGGGTCCCAGTCACTCTTTGCTATGCAGCATAACAAGCTGTGAAAAAGCTGTTTGAAGTAAGCCATCAGAGGGAGAGAGGGGAGACAAGTTTGTAGGATGAGAAGAGTTCGACAGGGGCAAGAGTTCAGTCTTCGTTACTTGGAACTTTGCAGGCTGGTAGCAGAATATCTGTCACACTCCAACCCCTTCAAATGTAGCAGTCATGATGTTAGTGTGATGGCCAAGGATGTGTGGGAGAATACACAAAAAAAGTCTCTGCGAAAGGTATTATTGGGTTCCCGGTTTCATGGGTCCATATTGCTAGAACATTTTAATCCTCTAAATAAAGTTTGTAATCAACAAAAATTGGCAACAGCAATATCACTAGTTTCAAATACTCTCAAGTTGGTGGTTGTGTGTTGCTTCAGTGAGAAATAAAAAAACACATTAACCATTTGATGACTATGCAGAATGCTGAGTTTTTATCTCTGTTGCACCAGATGTTACCTGTCTGTAATAATGCTGCGGCGGTGTGTAAACTGTGAGTCATCTATCCCCTATGGCAAGATATTATGACAACAAAGCAAAATGGGTTTTCCTAGTGTCAATATTCAGCATGGCGGGAGCAAGCTAATTGTGTGTAAGTCTGTTTCCTATGGTTGGTCAGTCATCAGTATCACTGATTAAGGAGAACAGGTTCAATGGGATTTGCTCTCATTTCATGATTTCTCAATTGTTCTACTCTATCTGTGCAATTTAGACATTCTTTGATAAAACCACAGGCGGAAAGATACTGTGCAATGGGCTTTATTCTCTCGTTTTGGTGTACAAGGGGATTTTTCATGTCACAGTTTAAGTTGATGCAGCACACTCTCTTCAGCGAGCAGCATAGGAGAGACAGAGCCCCTTGGTAGGGGGCTCTGCCTGTGTGTCTAGAACTAGGGTTACAATAAGTAACTTTTGTTTGTAGCTTGTAAGTACAGTGCGGCATTTGACAACTCGAGAGCTCTTTATGGAGAAAAGGAGTAAACACAACCAGGCCCTAAAGGAGAGTGAGGCTTACATTTATCAAAACAACATTTCAAATAAATGCAAAAATTCTGATGCATTTTTTATTATGTTAAAGTTTGCTAATATTTTCCCCATTCTGTAACATATGTTCAATTAATCACACAAATACATATATGAGTGTAAACTCTTTTTTTAACATTTATATTTTTTTAGACATTTTCAAAGACAAAAACATAAGGACAAGGACATGGCTCATAAACATCACAAACAGGACAGGACAATAACATGTAGGGTGGGGGGGTAGGGGGATTACAGTGTCAGTTACATGTTATGTATGCATATGGCGTTGTATTTATTTATGATTTGCTTCACAATATAGATATACTTAATTGTTTCCTCATTATATAGATACATAATTAAATTAATAGTTTAATAAAGAAATATACATGTATTCCTTTTCTGATTAATTCACCTATTCATCCATTTCCCATTTAATTTCACTAATTTCGTTATTATAACCATTATTTTTCAGTTTCTTCATACTGTAGCTTATTTCTCTTTATTTATTTGTAATTATTAATATTATTATAATTATCATATTTATGGTTAGCAGCCGAGATGGTTTGAGTCCAGGAAAGCCTTTATCTTATCCCAAAGCCTGTTGTCTGGCTTAACCGAATATAACAGGGAGAAAGCAGCTTCATCCATACTTAAGATGTTTAGGAAGTCCTCCAGCCATCTATTTAAATTGAAGCAGTTGGGCTTTCTGACTTTCCAATTCATAAGGAACGAGGCGTTTAGTTGAAAGGCATGCTAGGGCTATGAGTTTACTTGCAAATTTTGATTTTATGACATTGAGCGGGGATTCCAGCAAGCAGGATCTCAGAGAGTGTACTACGTCCCAAAGAGATTTTACAGCAGACAAGTCCAAAGACAATGTAAAAGGGTACCCACTTCCGCACAACCATGCCAGCATAGGCCCGAGAGTGTTTGATCCATCTTTTTGATTCTACAGGGTGTGATGTAGCTCTCTGAAGGATTTTTAACTGTATTACTCTAAACCGGAAACACTTGGAAATTGATTTCCAGATTCTGTCCCACTCAACTGGGGTACGGGTGATGCCTAAATCCTGCTCCCATCTTTTCTGTGTCTGCAGATTAGTATCAGCGGTGGAGGTGAGGAGAAGTTTATATATACCTGAAATCATTCCTTTCTCGTTTGCAAGTCTTTTTAGGTTCATATCAAGGTGTTCATGACAACCTATCTTTCTACCTTTTGATGTTAAGTTTTTAATATTTGATTGTAATTGCAAATAGGAGGAGAAGAGGGATTTATTCAGATTAAAATGTTTCCATCAACACTGTGAATGGAATTATGATATTTTTTTTTACTATTTGCCCAAACTGTATGTCATGTGCTTGCATATGTATAGTATTCATGTACTTGCATATGTATAGTATTCAATGGGTTACCGCCCGCTGTGAATAGTGGGTTTTTCATAATGGGCATGAAGGAAGGGAAATACTAGTGATGCCTAGCCTCCTTTGTACAAATGTAACCACACTGATAGAAAATTGAATTAATGGATTATTCAGATTGGATTTGGGGCAGTACAATAATTAATTTAAAGATATTGATTTATTGTTTTCTGTAATTATTTGTCCTTCCAGCCAATCCCAGTTAGCTTTTTTTCAGTGTCACTCCATAACCCCATGGGGAATCTGGCATTATATGAGAGGTAATATAAGTGTCGAGGAAACTTCTGTGGAGCTATGCAGTGGGAGTCACCGACTCAGGAAGGAGACACGGTAGGAGCAGTAGCTTTGATGTCAAACACTGATGGTTTATTTGGAGTTACGGCCGGAGGATTCACATCACAAGTCCAAGAGCCAGAGGTTCTGACTTCACGGTAGAGTTGCCACGTCAATTCTGGAGAGCCTCTCTCTCGTTAGCCCATTTAACTGGTTTCACAGAGAGTAATCAACATATTTTGATAAGATAGTTTAACCAGTTGGGCACACTGAGTGACTTGCGTCTGTCATTTATGGCCTCGAAGATGTCATACCTTGGAGTCCACAAACAACAAAGAAGGAAGTGTCCCAGTGCACCCACAACAACAGACCATCTGTGACCTAGTGTTGACCGGTCACAGAATGGGAACAATAACATTATGGCTGAAGCAGCCTATGTCCTTAAAGGAGATAAACAGACGTCAGGGTTGGTCATGTACGTCATATCTAGGAGTCTAGGACAATTATTTCCCTAACAGTCTTCTCTTTTTATCATTTATGATAACCTAAAACATTAGTCTAATAATAATTTGGTCAATACTTAAATCAATAGGCATCTCTAGATTTGAGTGTGGTCTCACCTTACATTAATTACATCACAAAGTAGAATAAGATTGAAACATTCAATCACAATGATTGATACAGCCAATCATAATAGGAAAAATCATCTCTCATCAGTGTTTGGTCATCTTTCGTCAAAAGCACAATAATGAACACACATAAAACACAGGTGCATAAATAGCTAAAATATTTGTTTTAAACTAATATATTTTATCATTTACCATTAGTTAATTTCACTCATCAAACTATAAAATCAAAACCAGCTTGCCGCTTTAAAGATTTACTTCAAGGCAATCACTAGTCAAAAGCATTTTAAAACTTAGGATCGTAAGAGATCCAGCTAAAAATTCACTGTCAGAGTATAGAATTCACAATGGTGATTTGATCAATCTGTAATCTGCAAAATTGCAGTGTCCTCAATTTTAGGATTACTTTTACGTCTACTTAAATACGCTTTAGTCAAGAGTAAGGCACTTAGTCAAATCAATACATTCATTTTAGTCAAGTACATTGTTCAAAATCTGAAAAGGAAAAGTTAGGCAAATATTCAAAGACTTTTGTAAAAACCTGGAAAGGAAGGATTAAACATTCTTAAAACTTGAATTATTACATTTGTAAATGCTACCACTGATCTGTACCAAATTAAGTCTATCAATTATTCCTATTAGCCATACTTACCTGAGCATCTACTTATGGTACTTGGAAATGATTCTTCTGTGTTTATCTAATGTTGAATATAGAATATCAATTTCTTTAATTTATACTTCTCTAATTTGAGGATCAAATATGCTACATAATTGTTATATGAAATATTATAAATATTAGTTTTGGGCCAAAACTGAAATTAATCCAGTACTTGAAACATCATTGTAGGTCTTTCTGTGCATGGATAATACATTAAAGAGTAGTGTTGTTAAGCCTGATTGCTGGACGATTAAGGATATTAACATTATCTGTGATAATAGTAGAAATATCTTATGATTCAATACTTTATAATCTGAATTAATTTTGTTTCGTGTAAAAGTGTACTCTGATCCGGCAAAAATATATTAATCACCACTATTCAACACATGTCTGGTCATTGGAAATATAAAGACAGTCATTAATTGTACATCTGTAAACATCCAAGATATAAAATCAATTCAAAGTTCCTCTTTGTACGAGAGCTGGAAGAACATGTCCTTCAGTCTTTCTGACTCGTTC